GGGGGGGGGGGGGCATGAAGAAAGACCTGCACCAGCCTCATTTCATTTGAACAAATGTCTTTACATATACATTTAATAGATTTTATTATTATCCACCTTTTTGTTTTATGTCCTTTTATTTAAAACATTCGTTGAGACTTCATCTTCTGGTTAAAATTTCAATAAATGTAATAATCACTCTTTTGTCTTTATTCTACATGAAAATGTTAGAGATTCCATTCAAATATGTTGATTATTCATATCTTCCTCAGGCTAGGAATAGTATGTCGAAGTTGTAATGCTAAATGTATATCATTTTCTCACAGGATATAGAATGAGACAACACAGTTTGTATCCATTGTGTATGCATGCTTCAGCTCTTCAGACCAACATAGTAAGAGCATGTCACTAATTGTGTTGGTATGCAACCTAGGTCTGGTCTGTTTACAGTTTTTCTGGATTGCTAACACACAAAAATTCTACATAAAGCACAATTATTTTAACTGACACTCAAAGAGCAAAACATTGGCTCAAATCTCCAAAACTCTAAACACGTTTTCAGCTTTTCACACAATTTGCAAATCAACATGGCACTTTTTGCAAACCACTGCACACGTTTCTCCACGTAAGACACAGGAATCTGACATAAAGTCACGTGTTAGCTGGTTTAAAACACTGATATTCAAAATGCCTCACACATGGACCAATGATCAAGAAACACGTTCCACCTGACCAAACACCTGATAGCAATATTGTTGGCTCATCAATCAGGATGTTAGCACTATAAAAAGACCACAGGTGAGTACTTTCTTAGAGCAACAATGGAAGCCAACATGGAAGCAAGAGCAAGAGCAAGAGCAAGAGCAAGAGCAAGAGCAAGAGCAAGAGCAAGAGCAAGAGCAAGAGCAAGAGCAAGAGCAAGAGCAAGAGCTGGGCTGAGAGTGAGAGGAGGAGGAAGAGGTGGGTGAGAGTGAGAGTGAGAGGAGGAAGAATGAGAGGTAGAGGTAGAGCTGGAGGGAGAGGACGTGGACAAAGAAGAATACTCTCTAATGAAATGAAATGTTATCAACCATGGTTTGACGATGAGAGAGGCTGGAAAGAGGGTTCAGCCTAATCTAAGCCGATGTACTGTTGCCTCTGTAATCCGGACACTTAGACTTGAAAACAGGTTAGTTACCAGTTTGTAGCTCTGCATAATTCATGATATATCAGTGCTTATCTGTTGTGTGAAACTTATTTACTTCATTACTGTAACTGAATTGTTGGCATGTTGCATATAACTGTACAAAAATCCTGCACAATGTACTGTGGTAGACTTACTTTTATGCAACACGCACACTGAACATCCACTATATCTTTGTTGTTTATCTGAAGGACTGAGAAAAAAAGAGGTGCAGGTGGAAAGCTAAGGATTTTCAATGAGGCACAGGAAGCAGCAGTTACAAACTTGGTTTTGGCAATGCCATCACACTTAGAGAGATCCGAAGCATAGTAACTATGTGCTGAGATGCATGTTGCACAATGTTATTTTTGAATAAAATATGATTTTTTTCAACAACTAATTTGTATTTCTTCATTTACTGTATTTCTGTATACTCAAGCAATCTTTCTCTGCAGAAACCTCTACTGTATGTACAGAGCATAGCCCATAACAGATGAAAGTGCTTTAGATTATGCTCAGCAGTGTGTAGTTGGGTGGTCAAACCATCTAGTATTAAGAATGAAGTGTGTTATATTTGGTGCTAAAGTTTGCATTTGGTA